TCAGATCTTCAGTTTATGAAAAACTAATAAGACATAGGGTGTGCTCTTATTCCTACAAATTTTTATTCCTATCAATTTCAAAATACCTAGTGACTTCAGGAGGATCAGATCATGATCTAATATTAGTCTGAGCTTACAAAGCCTTATAACTGATGAAAAAGTAATTTAAATCAACCTTTGATATGTTTCCAGTTGACGACGTGCAGCAACATAAAGTTTACTGAAATGCCAGAGATAAAAAGGTCAGCCAACCTGCTCAGGTCTTCAGATTAGTGAGGCTTTTTATTTAGCTGAGGCAAGATTCATGTAACAACAAAGGATTCAGTAAATGGAGATCTGAAATATTTAAATTATTTACAACTGTAACTTCCCTGAATGGAAGATAATTAGTTTAATATTACAAAAGTAGTGCTTATTCAAGATAAATGGCGATTAATTTAATATTGACATTGATTTTTAAATGTATATGTATACATTATATTTATTTTAAAACTTATTATTATTTCTATTACCATACTTGTTAGGGACCTCAATCCAGGATCAGGGCCCTCTTTGACTAAGCTCTGTATAAATGTAGTAGGAAAACTCCCAGAAAATTGGAAGAACACTCAGCTATAGTGAAACATGAATGACTGTGCACTTTTGCATATGTTGTGTTTAATTCATAGCAATGAGAAAATAAAACTCACTAAACTGTATTATTTCTACAGTTGCAACCTGTTAGTTAAAATATGTACCTAGTAGTACTCTCCCATAGACACTTCCACTGGTATATTACCATACATGAGTGGTAATGTGTGACACTTGTTTTAATTCATTAGGACAGACTTGTGAATAAGCATGAATCTACTGGCTGAGGGGCAGATTTAGCCAGTGGGACTACTGCCAGTCTTAAAGTTGCACATATGTTTAAGCACCTTGCCAAATGGAGGCCTTTGAGAGGAATTAGCCTTCCTGATATTTGGGTTTTTCCCCCCACACAAATTAAGCTTATGTTGCTATCCTGCCCTTGTATGGAAATTTCTTTGACTCTTTCACCTGGCTTAAGGATTCTCTGTAGCTTTTGTAATTATAGGTTTTTCTTCCTTCTCCCTTCCCTCTTAACCTAACTTAGGGTCTGATCAGCTCTAGTTGAAGTCAGTGGAATAACTGTCACTGACTTCAGTGGCAGTTAGTTCAGGCCTATATAGTCATTGATGTGCCATTAAGAGTATACTCTCCATATATGTATGTTACCAAATATATAAATATCCCGTGCTTCATTTGCATATTCACATTATGGCACTATTTCAAAATAGCGCTATTTCAAAATAACAGATGCCGTTAAGATCTCATGAAGACATTTGAAACTGCAAATGAAGCTGGGATTTAAATATCCTATGCTTCATTTGCATATTCACATTATGGTGCTATTTTGAAATAGTGCCATAATGTGAATATGCAAATGAAGCATAGGATATTTAAATCCCAGCTTCATTTGCAGTTTCAAATGTCTTCATTTGCATCCCTCTCTCAAAAGAGGGTGCAAGTGCAGACATACCCTATGGGCCTTACAGTGGCACAGTTCTGTTACAGAGATGCAGCTGCAGCAGCATCTCCTGTGTAGCCACACTATGCTGGGCAGGAGAGAGCTCTCCCACTGGCATAATAAAATCATCCCCAAAGAACAGCAGTAGCTATGTAAGAAAGAAACACTCTCCCACTGACATGGTGCTGCCCACACTAGAGATATAAAATCCCATTTTATTAGTTCACCCGTTAAACATTAAGCCTAACCCATGGCACACTAGAGTCAGGCCCACTGAGGACAAGGGCTACTCAGGCTGAACTGGAGTATGGGCTTGGAGCAGACCCCAAGCAGTGAGTAGGGAGCTGCTTCAGCCTCCACTTGTTAACCATTAGCATCCCTAGCCCACACAAGTACTTTTGTTGGTGAAACTAAGTTGATCAGGGATGTGAAAAACACCCCTTGACTGATAAAAGTTTTGCCAATGCAAGGTGTGTCTATTGGAAATGATAAGGCTAAATGAACTTGTGGACTAAACTTCCATAGTGAAGTTTATAACAAACAGTGATTCATTTAAAATATGATAGTGCCCATGATGCAGCATTATAAATTATTTTTTCCCTCTGTTTCCTTTCACTTTCCTTTCTGATGAAGTCATAGGAAATATGTCTTCAGTTGTCATTAAAATTCCTTGACTTGCCCCCTACTGGCTTTAGTCAGACCAAGTTCCGAATAGTTTCAAGGTTGTGCCTACTAAAGATAAAAGTTGTGCGCTTAGCCCTTCAGTCTGAAGCCAATGGGAGTCTTTCCTTTGATTGCATCTTTGGATTGACCACCAAAGCATTGAATTTCTGATTAGCATTTTTATGCTTATACAGGCAGTCCCCGGGTTACGTGGATCCGACTTATGTCGGATCCCTACTTACGAACGGGGTGACTCACCCCGCACTAGCTGCGCCGCCCCCCCCAGCAGATGC